TAAAAGAAATTCAGTTAACTTTCTATCCATGTTCATAGAGGGGGGCAGTGGTGCAGATAATCCAAATGTCAATTGTATTTAATTTTGTTCTGCCTGCCATATGCTCTGGGCACCTGAGAGGGTCTAGAGGGTAGGAAGGGGTTTCTGCAGGGGATTAGAGGCCTGAGGTTTTATGTGACAGGACCATTTGTGATATCTGAAGGCAGAGTTATGTCTCAGTTCTGCACACATTTATTAAGAAACGTCCATGTGCCAGCGCATATTAGATACTAAGGATTCAGGTGATTAAGTTTCTGTGAGGGTGTATATGTGTGTGAGGGTGACAGGGTGGTGGCGGGGACATACTCGCCATGAATGTATCTCTGTAGATTTCTCTTGCCTTTGAGCAATAGGGATGGTTTTTAATAGGCTGTCAAGTGTTGTCTGTATCTGCTTGGCATCTTGGGGCTTTTTTCCCCTGATTTTCGAGTTTCTAAATTTTTCCTCCCTCTATGACTACTATTTTTTTTTATCTTCTTAGCAGGACTATTTCCTTTAACCAGTCTTTAAATGTAGAGCTTCTTCATTCTAGATCCTCTCCTTTTTTTCACTCTGGATATATCCCTTAGTAACCACATCATGCTCAAGGCCTTTCTTAACATTTTCTTACAGGTAATGCTTACATGTGTATCTTTAGTTAAGACTCTCTAGTTTCAGGCCTGTATATTCAACAGCTTACTAGACAATGTCTTCTAGTGTTGAGGTACATTTTACTCAGCATCTCCAAAATTCAACTCATAATCTTCCTTCCCAGGTTTGATACTCTGCCAGAACTCCTTCTCTTAGTTACTGACACCATCATTCATCCTTCTAGAAGTATTTTGTAGCCTAGGTACCTCTCATTTCCCCAACTCCCATTTCTAACTCATCACTAGGCCCTATTGGTTTTGTCTCATTAATGTTTCTGGAATCCACTCAGTTATGTCCATCACTACTCTGGTGACCAATGTCCAGGGCAACCTCCTCTTTTGCTTAGAGCAGCAAGTTTATTTATGTCTGCTTTGGTTATGGTTCAGTACTTCATAATGCAGCCAGACTGATTATTTTAAAACAAACCTGAAAAATTGTCCTTGTCACTTGGGAACGTGGTGACTCATGGGGTGGCAGTGTTTAGAGCAATGCGGGATGGAAGAAAGACAACTCAAAATCCAAGTAGAGAGAGAGAGAGGCAGAGAGAGACCTAAAGGGGTTTTCTCCTCAGGGAGTGCAGCACTGTTCCAAGGCCAGTCTCACATTTATTGGGAATCAGGTTCAGGGAAGGTGGGCAAGTATGCGAAGGAATATGTGGAGGAATGTGGGTGGTGGGGATGTGGATTGGGGATGCATAATAGTCTATATGTAGTGAGGATGTGTCCTGGGGATGCATAAATGCCTGCTACAAGCTAGGGGTGGGGAGTGAATAGGGGTTGTTGCCTGGAGGGCTCCATTGTTGCTGCTGATCAAAACATCCTATCTCTAGTTCCTGTTTACACTTAACTTTCTGCCAAGGTGGTCTAGCTGATTATGCTTATCTGGCCATAATGTCTGCCTGCTCTTTTCAGTAGATACTGGTTTTTCAGTATGTTCCTCATACCAAGACTTTTGTCTTGGTGAGAGGCCCCCTCCTTGACTCTACATTTTAGCTTGACCAGCAAATACAAAGGGAATTCATTTTACTATTGTTTACGTTTGTGTATTATTTTATTTTTCCATGATAAAAAGTCAACATACATACACACAAATGTAGTCATACTGCTACCTTGCTTAAAATACTGACTAGCTTCCCATTGCTTCTTGTATGAAGACAAAATTTCTTATCAAGAATTCTTGTTCCTGTACGGTCTGGTCTTTGCTGATCTTTCCTGACCCCTCTTGCACCAAACACTCTTTCAGCCTCCACCTCTACCTCCCAGGTGTTAGTCCCTTGTAACATGCTATGTCCTCTCCTAGGAACAAGTCAAATTCTCTTTCCCTTCCCTTCCCTTTTGACTCTCAAAACACTGGGCACTTCCCCTTATAGCACATGAAATCTTTGTATGATTGTGAAAACCATTCGGTTAATGTCTGTTTACTAGACTATAAAACTCCAGAGTCCCCCATTTCATCCCAAGCATTGTGTTTCACATATGTTATCATGGTCAACAATTATTTGTTGGTTGAATGAATGAATGATGAAAAGGGGTAGGGAATATTTGGAAGTGTCATTCAGTTTGTGACTTGACCCAAGAGTTCCAGGAACAATTAGAGATGAATTATGATGAGCCTATTGGCTTGACTCACATGACTTTGGGATAGTAAAGCACTAGCTATTGGTCCTCTCTCATGTTCCTTGAGATAGTAAATAGTAGAACAGACACATGCCTGTGATGAGAGTGTTCTTCACAGACTCTGGATCCAGCAACTGTTTGACTGTTGTTCCTAACTCTCCTTTTTTCCAGAAAACACCGGGACTCAGTGGTCCAAGGGACAAGTCTTTCTCTGCCATCTGATGCCCCAAATCTGGGCTTTATCCTTGGTCCCTTTCATGGCCTGTTACTCTGAGTTCTGACCAGTTTCTTAGTCTCATACTCCTAGTGTCTCTAAGGAAGACCTCACCTCAACTGCATCCCAGTGAAGCCTGGTTTATACATTCCATTCTTCCTGTCTAGAGCCTCACCTGACCCCTTAGCTTAGTAGCAGTGTCCACCCTGCGTGGACCTATCACCTAGGCAATGATTGCCTGTGAGTCATTCTGCTGAGTATTGTCCATCCCCTGGATTCTTTATCACCAGCCCCTGTCAATCTCCTCAGTCTTCAGAAACAGTTTATGAGTTATGGCTGTGGTGTCTCTTCAGATCCTGTGCCTCAGGGAACATTCCTAAGCCTCAAGACTGACAAAAACTCTGCTACTAGAGTTAATCTCACAGCCAAGTAGGTCCCCCAAACTATGAAACTCTCAATCACCTTAGTGTTGCCTTCTCCCCAATGGTTAAATCACAAGTTAAGATACCATTAGGATATGATTGGAAGATTACAGGATCAGCTGCCAGGACACAGCTTTAGACATATTGGTCATTATTGAATTGCAATATCTTAGACCAAGTCACTTTACTGCTTTGGTCTCAGCTTCCTCATTAAGGAAGTAAGGGAAGGAAAGATGGGAAATAGGGAAAGAATGAACATACATCTACTCTTTGGTAGAAGCTTATTTTCTGGTTACATGAATAAAAATGTTTGGTGGTTAAATAAGTTTGGAGGATACTTGTATTAGGCAAAATTTAACAGCTTTTTTTTTTTTTTAAAGATATATGTATACAAGAGTTGGGGTACAGGCCAGAGGTGGGGGTGAGAAGATTCACCAGAGACAGAGGGGGAGCAGAATGGGCAGACTGACTGAAATACACTGCTGAGGGGAGCAGCAGGCAAGATAGGAGAAGTCTGCTGCACCATGTGGGTTGCTCCCTGGCTAGCCAGGGATCGAACTCGTGCTTCAGTGACTGCACATTGCTTCATAGGTTGAGCCTTAACCCCTTGCGCCACCAGGGAGGTCCTAACAGCTTTCTTTTAAGCAGGACTTTTCAGAGCCTTTAACATGTCAATTTGCATTTTGATTCTCCAGGAAGGAATTGGGTAGAATTAAGTGCTTATGGAAATTCACTTGGGAAATACCAGATTAGATTATTTGTGGTTCTAAAAATTTAGTCTCTTATTTGCATCTTTGGTTTTCATATCTGAATTTTGAGGTGTGATACGGTTTGAGTCTTTGAATAGAGAGTGATGATACTCTATTGAAAGCTTGTAGCATTGAAAGGAGCACTAAACTAGTTCAGGCTGGAATGTTTTCTGGATAGGCCATATGGTTCTTAGAAAAAGAACATGCACTTTCCATACAGTGCCTACCAAATAGAGGCAAATTCCCTTATCACTTGTGTGCACCATGGAAGGCCATTAACCTGAGAAGACCAAGTACTCATTTCAAAAGGTGGCAGGCTTGAAGTCTTAGTGACCCAGGTCAGGATTCATTTTGAAGGGTGACAGCCGCTGGTCTCTGGACCCAATGCCAGCTTGTTAGCAAGTCATCTCTGAGCCTGTTAGTGTTGGGCTCTTGTGTTCAGTGACATAAACACTAAGGTTCAACAGCAGAGCAATAAATTCCACTTTAATCTCATATCACCCTCCTATGCCATATCATGAGCTTAGTATTAAGCCAGTTTAACAGAAAAATCCAGTAGTTCTTTAAAATAGAAGGGCCAATGCTGACTAATTTGGTCTCAAAAGACCAGTGTTATAGACATGGACTATTTCACCCACCAGAACTTTTCAAGGTCTTCTCTAAGCCAAGGTAGGAGCATTTCACCTGTTGTCCAGAGCTCAAGACCTCTGGCTGAACATCTCAGCTTCATAGAATTCAAGGGATTCTCCAGCCCTTTTGTCCCTGTCTTTGCACAGAGGTGACACTTCTGTTGTCCAGTTTAGCAACTCACATCTCCCAACTCTGCCTAAGTTTTCTGTTGTGTTTTCCCTCTTGTTAAACATTTACTCACTTGGCTCTCCTGGAGCCTCCTTCCTGACTCTTGGTTGCTAAAGGTGCTCTGCTCACTCACAAATTTTCCCCAGTCTTTTTTCATAGTCTCTAATTCCCCAAATTAGCACCAGACTCCATCTGGCAGAAATCTGGAAGATCATACTGACAATTTTTTTTTTTAATAAAACGGTGGGGGGGGGCAGCACATGTTAATGGACCATGACAAAGGCTACTTCCTAACAACCCTCAGTATTTGTCTTTATTTTTAGAATGTCCTCCTGCTGCTTTTACTATCACTCTCTATTTGTTCTTGAAAAGGTTCATAGAACAGGGGAGAAGGGAAAGAGGCAGAAGGGAGTATAATGGAACAGTTCATTAAAAAAAGTAAAAAAAAAAAAAACATAAAAAAGACAAGCTGCTACCACAAACACAAGCCCATCTTAAAGCAGCCTGGTGATGTTCTGCTTTCTCTGGACAGTGCCAGGCACCACCTGCCAGCGCCCTGTGTCTGCACTCCTCGGCACTGATCGGCTGTGTCCTAAAGAAAATGTACCACTATCCTTGGACAACCAGTGACTTCATGAACCGACAAGTGACACACAAATCCTAGCACTGCTGGAAGAGTAAGAAAAGGGGACTCCTCAATATTGAGGTGTTATAAAGGTTTTGTTTTCTTTGTTTCCTCTCAATAACAAAGATCAAGTTTCTCTGGCTATTGAGTAAAACCCAAAGGAGGGCTCAAAAATAGAGGCCTCTGGGGAACAGGGCACCTGTTGTTTGTCTGGAAGGCTTTCCTAAGTAGTGATCACTTGTACTACTGAGTCTTCAACAAGAACTAAGCAACAATTGTGTAGTGTCTTCTATAAATCATGCCAGGAACTGTTGTGAATCACAAGTTGGCTATATAAAATATATACAGAAAAACATAGTAGAGAAGGCTACTAGATTGTGTCAGTCTCAAAACCTCATCTTCCTATGCAGAATCACATTAGAACACCAGGGTAAAGGGAAGGATGTGTTTTCCTTCCTCCATTACAATATGAATCTCAAATCACTGCCCCATACAGGCAATCACCACCAACAACACACAATTTCAAAGTCAGCCCCTCTGGGACACCTCTGACACTCACCCTAAGAACTGCACACATGCCTCTGTGTCCTGCCCCTCCCAGGATAGATGGTTTTGTCATAACACCCATGACCCTTATCTGTGGGTTTGTTTTCTTTAGTATCTTGACTGCTTCTTGGGTGCAGAGCTATTTCTTCTCCAGCATGAGTCCTAGAACTAATCTAACTGGATGTGTGACTCTAAGCATGTGATCTGCCCTCTCTGAACACTAGGTTCCACATATATCAAGTGGGAGCTTATATTGTCCTTATTGTACTAGGTGGTTGTTGAGGCTTAAACAGGACAATAGAGATAATGCATGTAGCCTAGCATCTGGCATACAGTCAGCATTTGAGAAACACAAAAGAGAATTGTTTGCATTCTCAATACCAGCGCCGTCTGTGTTCATGTATCAAAGGTTCTCAGTAATGTTCAATGAACGACTGAGGCAAATGCTTTATTGAGGGGACATTTCCTGCAGATGAACAGTTTCTAAATGAATTATCCTCAAGTTGGAGATAGTGACAGCTGTTCCCCCCCCACCCCCAAATTAGGCATAAATCTTCATACCTTCCTTTGATTCCTTATAAGAAAGAAATGCAAGCTATATTATAAAGTGTACACAGACCCACCAAATGCTTCAGAAAGAATTGCTGACAGGCAAAGAAAACCACCCATAGTAGTGCATCTGAAATTTTGGCCCATGCACCACTGGGCAGAGGTTCAAAGGTGGTCTGGCCTTGCTCGGAGCAAATCCCAGTCTGAATGAGACCCTGTTCCAGCCCCCCTGGACTGCATATGGTGGTCACAGAAGACGACTGGCCCTTATTACTTTCTAGTTTTCTGACAGCACATCTCACCCACATGAGAGGAGGTGAATTGGGGTCAGGATCTCCACAGTATACCAATAATAAATGGTCAGTAAGTTGCCTTTCTGACTTATATCCAATCAATTCTGAATGAATAGCAAATTAGAGAGCAAGCAAAGTACAAAATGGAAAAGAAGGTGGAATGTGTTGGTTGCTACCTTCCTTTGCCCTCTCTTCACTCTCGACTCTTGTGCCTTCCTGACTTGTGTCCAGCTTCTCTGTGTCTTATAAACCCTCAGTTTGACTCTGGCATCACCAGCTTGGTAAGAGAGGGTCAGGTGAGGTACCTACCAGAGTTGTTCTAGGAATTTGTGACTCCATCTCAACCAAGACTGGGGAGATGGAACTATATGGGCTGGGCCCTGGACTTGGTAGGATCTCTGGCATTCTGCTTGGTTCTTGTCCTCTGGTGCATGTTCATTATAAAGGGGGCTGACATTCTGGTCCAAGTTGAGTGGGCAGCTGCTGCTGCCTTCTGAATAACATGATCAACCATAAGGAGTTTTGCTGCTAAGTCTCACGTCATGGACAAGATCCCCCTTGATATAGGGACGTACATCTAGTTCAGGTCCAAGTTCATCATTCCTCTTGGACATTGTTATATGAATTGCTAACTTCTTCCTAGTTGCCTCTCATGATAGAGACAGTTGTATAATCTCTTCTACTCCATATTCTGCAGATATTAGACAGTCTTTTTTTTTTCCTCTGCCTTTGCTTGTCACTAAAATTTCAGTAGGTCTTTAGTTACAACTGTTATGTTATGAACTTGAAAGTTTGTATTCTCCCCAAATTCGTATTTATTGAAATTTTAACCTCTGATATGAAGGGGACTTTGGAAGGTATTAGAGCCGATAGGGTCATAAAGGTTGGATTCTCATAATGGGATTAGTGCCCATATAAGAAGACATACCATCGAGCTTATAGTCTCTACCATGTGAGGAAGGACACAGCGAGTAGGCAGCCATCTGCAAGCAGGAAGAGAGCTCTCACCAGGAACCAGGTAAGCTGGCACCTTGTTGTTAGACACCTCAACCTCTAGAACTGTGAGAAAAAAGTGTGTGTTTACCAAACCTATGGTATGTTGTTATGGAAACCTGAGCTAAGACAATAATCCATTTCCCTGGTCTTTACATAATCTGCTTTCCAGTATAAGGTGAATTAAAAAGGGATAGAGGTTTATCTTTTTTGATTGCTGAGTAATATTCCATGGTATATATGTACCACATCTTCTTGATTCAGTCATCTATTTTGGGGCATTTGGTTTGTTTCCATAGCTTACCTATTGTAAATAGTGCTGAAATAAACATACCGGATATAAGGGACCAGGAAAAGAGTAATTACAATAAAGTAAAAATCAAAATCAACAAGCAACTATAAACCAGAGACACACTTGGGAGCTGGGGAGGAGGGAGTAGGATCAAAACAAGCATGGTGGGAATTGTATGGGTCATATAACCAAGATGAAAATGCATACATTGTGCAAAAATGAAAAATGATATAAGAAATACAAAAAATAAAAAAATAATAAAAAAGGGATAGAGGAATAGATAAACCAAATTCCATGAGAAAGAGAGATAGAAGCTAGAGCAAGAGTGTGAAGTTGAGAGAGAAAAAAAGAGAGGTTATGGTAGAAGTTTTATGTTCTAATGACTAGTTGCTGGGGACCTGGCAGGCTGTAACATAGACCCTCCTGGCCTATTTCAAATTCCCCCACATAAGTGGCTGGCTACTCCACTGCCAACCAAAACTGACCTGGTAAGGATCTATTTAGGAAATTAACATTTATAAAAGCTAAATGCTTTGCTCTGGTTTTCATCCCATATCACAGGGTTTTTGCTAATTTTAAATGGCATTGCCTCTTCACTGGAGATTAACAAGATATGAAGCAATCCCGATATTTTAATCAGTGTTTGGGGATGATTCCTGCTGAATAGCAGGAAATGTGGTTCTTCTGGAAATCCATTTTTCATTTGTTTTCTCATTTGCGTCCCTAGTTTAAAGAAAATTGACTTTTTAAAAGTGAGTGATAATTAATCTTTGAAAATACTGTAATTGGTTGGTTTTACTGCTGTTTGAAAAAATTCGATGCATACCCAAGCCAAACGGAGCTCTGCTGTGGGAAGGTTGGGATGACAGGGTGAGGAGCAGCTGCAGCGGCAGGCAGACACGTTGGCACTGGGCAGCGTGCCAGTCCAGCTGGTGGGGAGGGGCTGAGGGGCATAAGACCAGCTCTCAGCAGCCCCCTTAAGTGGTCTGAAAATGCTTGTGCTCCTTTGAGGCACTTCACAGGTTTTCTGCAAGTGGAGAAATGGCCTGCTCAATTCAGATTCACTGCAAGGCCAGACTGATGAACGGTTCAGAAATGTGTTGTAAGAATTAGATTATAAAGGAATAGATTTCATCTTCAGCAATATGAGGCTGGATGGACAGATAAACCCCTGCAGGTACAGGACAGATATAAATGCTAGATAAAATATTTCGACGTGTATTTGTAAAGCAATGTGGAGCTGGCAGTAAAGAAAAGGGAACAAAGTCTATAAATGATAGGAATATGCTATTTTACAAGGGTACGTAAGCTTTAGAGGTGGTAATTGTCCTCAGGGCATGGGCTTCTAGAGAGATTTAGTCAAAGGCATCTTTATGCAGACCACAGCCGGCCATGCATGGGCACTAGGAGGTTGCAAGGTATATAGGTGATAAAGCTGAGGGTCTACTGGGATGGGAGTTGGACTTAACATCCTTGCATAAACCTTTTATCCTCAAAAGTCAACACATTGGGTAGGTAAACTTCAATGTAATAATCTGCCCTATGTGGGAATATCATCTTTGCCTTGATTGATTCTTGTGGACTGGAAAGAAAAAGAAAGTTCCACTAAGAATTCATACTTCATCTGCCCACTGTCAGGTCTGAAGATGTAATTCTTGTCACCTGTATAATTAAAATGAAAAGTAAAAGACAAAATCCACAAATAAATCAGTTATAATTTACCTTTGGATGGGCAGTGTCAAGCCTCTATGGAATTACATACACACATAAAAATCAGGTCCTTGAATAGGAAAACTTTCAAGGAACTGAAGCTCAGTCAAAATCACTAAATATACAGAAACAGACAAACGAGGAGTGAGAGTCAACAGAAACAATAAGATGTGGGGTCAGACCTATAACAGATGCAAACATTATAAGAGAATGTAGTAGGTTATTTCATATGTTTAATGAAGGAGAGGGTAGGGATAAAAAATGGCAAAACATAAGAGCAGGAAGATTTGGGGGAAAAGTAGGCAAACAAAATAAAGAGAGAAGTAATTTTATGGAACATTATATAAAGCCTAAATGAAGAAAAAATTATGTTCCAGAAAATAGATTTGAAAAAATGACCCCAAATATAGGATGAAGATAAAAAGGATGGCAAATGTGAAAGAGATTAACAGACCTATAAGACAGCATGAAAAAATCCCTGCACATATATAATTGAAGTTCTAGAAGGAGAGCATTAGAGAATGTAGAGAGGAAATATTCCAAGGAATAATAGATGAGAATTTTCCATAACTGGTAGAAAAACTGGACATCTTCAATCCAACTGCAAACTAAGGCAGTGCAAATAAGGAAACTGCAGACTGACCTTACTCATGGACATGTGCATGGGAG